TTATATCATATTATTAGTTTTAAATTTTAATCTTATTTATTATTATTTTTACGAGAATTATTTTCCTTCAAATGGAATTGAGGGAATTTAAACCTATAATTACTTAAATCAACTCTAATGTGTTTAATTAAAGTAGATGATATTAACATCAAATGATAAATTTTTTTTTTTTTAAATTATAGTTATCATCGTGTGAAAACAATCAATTAAATATATGTTGCTATAGGGTAGTGGTTATGGTTACATTTGTAATTGTAAAGGTCACATAATTTTTTTTTATATTTTATTAGTTTATAATTTTTTAAATAATCAATTTTGTTGCTTTAAACTATTCAGTTATAAATTAATTTTATTTATTAAATAATAAATATTAATTATTAATTATTTTTAATAATTAAATTAAAATAAGAATTAAATAATTTGTGTAATCTAACAAATTAATAAATAGTTATAATCACAGCTTTGCTATATTATGTTAAAATTACAGTTTATTGGATGAAAACAGATTCTCTTTTTTTTTTTTTTTTTTCTAATAAGGATAATTTAGAGAAAAAAATAGTTTAAATTCAACTCATGAGTTAAGAGGTGCGTGAAAACAGTGTCTTCAATCTATTGTTACATGATGTTTTAAACTATATTGTTTTTTGGGCTTGGTTTCAACTATTGCGTGGTTTTTATTTTTGTTTAATGCCTTGCCTATTGTGTTTATTATTTATTATTTCTTTTTGCGCTTTTTTCCCCCTAAAACTGAAGGGAATAAAGTATGTACCGAAAATTTGACCAGCTTTTAATTCTATGATGGCTATGAATTTATGCTGACTAATCAATAAACCTTTTTTTATAAGATTGACTAATGAATATTTGATATTTAAGAAATTAATAATTTGTTGTGTAGTAATTAGTACTATTACTTTAGGCAAATGGTACACAGTGTGAATCACTTCCACACTTTTATAACAAATCAAGACAATGCTTCAATATGAAAACTTACTCAAATTTAGGAAAGAGGACGAATATTCGGAAAAAAATAGGAAGTGTCAACTGTACTCAGTTTTTTTCTTTATTTATAATTAGATTATTCACAAGTTAATTTTTATATATTTCAAAATTAATTTTTTTATTAATTTTAAAATTGTATCTCTATATTATATTATTAAAGTTAAATATTAATTTTAGTTCTTGAACTAAATTCATAAAAGATAGTAATTATTTTAAAATGAAAAGCATCCTTTCTTTAATTCAAATGAGTATTAAAGTTTAAAAAAAAAAGGTGTTGTGTGGTATAAATTATATGTAATATAAATTATTAAATGAAAGTGAATTTCTTAATATTAAAATTTGTTTCTCTCATTTAATAATTTTTATTTTATAATATGATATAATTTAACTTGTAAATAAAAAAAATTTGCCTAACTTTTAATTTAAAACACAAGTTAAAGATATAATAAATATATATTTTTATAATTAATTTATATTAAAAATTACAAAAATTAATATCTATTTTATTACTATTACATAAATATAATAAATGTATTTTTAACCTTTGTCTAAAAAAAATCAAATAAAGAAATATTAAACTTATGGATTTTGTTTTCTTTTTAATTTTTATGCGAGGTATTTTAAGAATAAAAGGGAGAAAAAATAAGGGCACGAGAGGCACATAAATCACCGGGCAGCGCAATTACCGCTGGCTGGTCTCATTTTCCGTAGTCCGTTGCAGTACAGTTCCTTGACCCAGATTGTCCCTTCAATCTTCTTTTGTCTTTTGCCGAATTCTCCCTCCACGTAAGTCACTTTAACTCTTTGCCTCCACACCCCACGCGCACTCAACTCCTTAGATACCCATCTGTCCAATGAAAGTTGTGGGTTTACTGCGTTTGTGTTTCACGTTGGCTCCTTGTGTCAGATTCAGGGAGCCTTTATATATTTTCCTAAAGAAAAAGGGGGACTTCTGGTAAGACAAAGAGATGTTCATGTTTCTCCTTTTAGCTCATTGCAAAAAAGGAGTCAGCATATCTTGTAGTCTTAAGCAACTTGGCGGAAAGAACCCCACGACTCTTTCACACTATGGATATCCTTTGTTTTCCTCAGGATATGGCTTTGCGTGGTACATAGGTTATGCAAACCAAGTTTCACATTATCTTTCAACTTCAATTTTCCACTAGAGTTATGAATTAGTTCAAATTTCTATCCATTTTGATGCAATAACACCCTTGAATATAATTATTAAAAGATTGTATCGAGTGGAGTATCTATATATAAAAAGATGAATCAACATTGTTGTTACATATCAAAGATTTATATGGTTTGTGCTAGCTATGTCAAACTTTAAATTTTAATGAGTTAAATGATTGCTATATATATATGGAGTTTTTAATTTTTCCTCTTTCCAAAGCGTGTGTTGCAAAAAGAGATGGAATTAATTAAACAAGCAAAACGGATATACTTGTGGCAACTTGCAAATACACTCTTCAAATCAAGAAAATGGAAAAAGGAGCTTTTAAATTGGGAAAAATACTAAAGTAAGGATGAAAGATTTTTTTTGAATGTTGGACCCATAAAGCATAAACAGTGGACTTATGAAGAAAAAAGTTTAAAGTTAGGATGAAAAAATGAATTTGTCATTTGTATGGAGGCCGACTAGTTCTCTCTTATCTTGATCTCCCTTTTTTTGAAGTGCGAAAACTATAAAAGTGAAAAGATTTGTCATTTTATCTAAAGTATGATATAAAGGAATATGATCCACAAAAGTAACCTCAATTTGCATAACTACTTTTGTAGAGAGATTAACATAACATATCTTAGAGTTAGATAAGTGGACAAAAGATAAAATAACGAAAATAACCATTTTTCAATTGGTTGCAATTAAGTTGCAACTTGCAACTCTTCTAGAGCCTCGCTTTAATATGTCAACTTCTTTGAATATAAATGTAAATTGAACATAAAATGAACACATGCACACGTGGCAGTACGTACGGGCGGACCCAACCCTAAAGTTAAATTAAAGGGGCCGGGTGGCTGCAATTGTGCCATTTGATGATAAGAAGTAAATTTTTTTAAGAAATTAATCATATAATAATAAATTATGATTATAAATATACAATGTTACTTGACATTGTCATTATTTTTATTTTTAAATTACCTAATTCACATGTTTGATCTTTGGAAGGAGTATGTATGGTGGAAATTTCTCACATTAATTGTGATGAAGAATTAGACAATAGGATGATGGAGAGAAAGGAAGCAATTATCAGTTTTTCTTTTTAGAACAATACATTATTATTTTATTAATCGGGCAAAAAAAATTTTTTTGTTACATTATTAAAATATTTGAGAATATTTTTTTTTTTTTGTATTAACCTTTTGGTATTCGGTAATCACATTCAGTCCCGATTAATTCAGAATCGAGTCACGTCGGACCTCATTAAGAGAGAAGCTCTCTCAGCGTATATTTCTCTATTCATAAGATTCGAACTCGAAATCTTATTTAAAAAAAACCGAACTCCTTCCGTTCGGATCAACAAGTCGTTTGATAATGTTTTATGAAATATGAATAGGAATGATTATCGATTAGCTAGGTTGTGTGACTTATTTTTAGATGGAAATTGATCTTGTGAGACATCCTAAACTGTGTGCTGTTTTTATGCGACTAACAATTTAATTAATTAATTAATTAATAGATTAGGGAATCTCATCAGGCTTCAATGTCTTATATTGAAATTAAGTTTCGCAATATGATTTCTATTTTTAATATTATTAAATGTTTTAAATGTATTTTTTGGGAATCACCGCTCAATCATTTATGCAAAATCCCAAAACACTTTCATATTTGATGTAGTACTTGGATACTTCGTATACAGTTTCCTAAACTTCAATTTTTTTTTTTAGTGGTATATAACTATATATATATTGATCAAGTGGTGTTGAGGATTAATGTGATATATTCATCTAGAATTAATTAAACGTTTTGTTTTCTTAAAACCCTTTTCTTTATTTTTTTTATTATATCTTATAATAATTAATTATTATAACAAGATTAGTCTTGAACTTTTCCCAAATTCATTCGTACTCCCAGGCCACTAGATCTTATAATGTTATAGTTCATTTCAAAATTCAATTCTTTTTTTTAACGTTTAAATAATGCAATTTTAAAGGTATTCATGTTCATCTCTTTCCTTCGCCGAAAAGCAAAAAAGAAAAAAATTCACGTTCACACGCCTTTGGATTTTGTAGGAGTTGCTTGGGAGTTCAAAAGCCTGTATATATCAACAAATTTTGCATATATTACTAACAGTTTGAAGAACCTACTCCACCTTTTGGCTCTTACAATTACTTGTCCCAAACGATTATCTGTTAGGAACACAATTAAACTTAATGATGCATTATGATATACATGCATGCATGATAGCTACGTGTTTATTTATTCTTTGCAAAGCCAATCAAACCAAGGGAAATCCAACAGATATATAGATATATAGCATCATCATCTATTAATTAATTGATTTCCTCTCAATCTAATGTCTGTAGTTATATGCACATCTATATCTCATTAATAATATAAAGTGATAATATCACATAAAATTATAAAATTTTTAATTAAAATATATCATTAAATGATGGATAAATTTACAAAAAAAAGGATCAATTGAAACTATAATGTAAGTAATATCATTTTTGAACTTATAATCAATTGGGTTTTGGATTTGATTACATTTTCTAGAATTATTTTTTTTTTCCCTTTTCTATCCATTGTTGGCTTTTTAGTTTTTCCCTTTTTATGAAGAGCTGAAAAATTAATTAAATAACGTAATAATTAAGGAAAAGCATTAGGACAAAGTTTTTACTGTCAGTAACGTTTCTTTCATCCCAGATGATTCCACTGGATTTTTTGTATCTTTTTTTTATGGATGTGGGGGGTGGGGATATTTTGTATCATTTGATAATGACAACAAGAACAAAACAATAATTTTAAAATTACAATAATGCCCTGGTAATTTTAATTTTGAAAAAAAAAAAAAAGAACAAGACAACAAGAGTTGGTGGTGGGGACCAGAGATAGGAAGGAACGGTCAGCAGAAGGGCTTTCCACGGTGCCGTACGGACAGTTGTATGGGGGGAGCCACCCAACACACGCACGCACGACACAGCCCACCGTCCACCGTTCAACCACTTTCGCTTTACCGTACAACGAAAAGTAAAAGGAAAAAAGGCATAATTTTTTACTTTAAAACGAGGAAAAGAAAAAGTCTTTTT